TTCGCTCGTCATTGTCTTCCAGGCTCGCCAGCTCCAGATCTCCTTCGAAGCTCTTCGACGCCATCTCCTTCGAAGCTCACCATCGTCTTCGACACTCGCTGTTTCTTTGATCGTGCTCACCTTCAAAGCTCGCCGACCCCAGATCTCCTTCGTGCTAGCCATCGCCGCCCTTGGATCCCTCTTCGAAGTTCGCCGACCTTTTTTTTGCTGTGTTTCTTTCCTTTTCTTTTTTTTGGTTAGTGCCGCTGTTAGTCTGAGTTTGTTGAGTGAGGGCCTTTGTTTTTTTTTTGTCTTGCTGGGCCGCTGTTTGAGTGTGGGCCTTTGTTAAAAAAAAAACAGAAACCAAAAAAAAAACCTGACCTTCGGGTTCCCTTTTTTTAACCTTCGGGTTCCTGACTGTTGACCTTCGGGTTCTCTCCTTTTAACCATCTGACCTTCGGGTTATCTCTTCTAACCTTCGGGTTATCACCCGGGTTCTGACCTTAAAGACACGAGTATTCCTGTGTGGATATTACATGTATATCAGATGCTCACAAATGTGTAAATTATTATTCACCATAAATATGTGTAGATGAAGTTTACTGTGCTTGTTTTGACAGTAGATAATTGTTTGTGAATCACGTTATTAATTTTTTTATTCTTATGTAAATAAGAATCTGATAGTCTGATGCATACATTATTCATGTTTACATATAAAGAAATATACACAAACAATTGCATTTCCATATTTCATGTGTGGATTATGGGAAATTATCGTGTAAAGTACTGCGTGTCCCTGTCAGAGTTGACATCCTTGTTGATTACAACAATTTCAATTTCTTTTTTCTATAGATAAACCTTCTGTTCTATTATACATAGTTTCAGTTGTATAACATTTGGGAGTTTTTCTTTGTCTGTCCTCATGCAGGAAGTTCCAGAACGAAGCAAGGACAGTCCAGGAGGTCCATGGCAGTTTATGGGTCTTATGCCGCTTTTTGATCCTCCAAGACATGACAGTGCAGAGACAATCCGCCGGGCACTTAACCTGGGTGTCAATGTGAAAATGATCACAGGTTTGACTTATTGAATAGAATTTTTAGTATATGCCGTGAAAAATTACATCCTGATACAAAACTAGTTGTATACTTGTGTAATGGAAGGAATACTGGAACAATGTTGTTTTTGATGATAGAGATCTTTACTAAGGTAAGGTTTGACATACTAATATTTGGTAGTTGCGTATCTTCCGTTGGATTTTCTTAAGTATGCCATTGGCTTTTCTTATGCATACATGGCTAGAAAAGTGCATGGTTACAGGGAAATTAAGACAAGCTAGGTGATTGGATTGTCCCAACTATCAAAAGCTGATAAAAGTATAGAACAGCTTTTGGTTGATTTTTAAACTGCGACAAGTATGTTGTAACTAATTTGTGAATATTTGTTGTGCAAAAAGAATGTTAAATCTTGTTTCATACTTCTAAAGTGGTGAAGAGTGTTATCATAGGTCCATAATTAAAGGTTTATGTGATGCTTTGTTGGTATCAAAGTTGTCGTGTCTGGATACTTGTCTTACATAGTTTTCCATTATGTATTTCCATTTATTATATCATCGTATCATAAAATAAATTAATAGATGAGAAATAGCTATAATAGTTTATTATATTATCGTAAGTGATGTGCACGCAAGTTTGCAGTTGGTCACATCCAAAAAAATTTCCATCTAGAGGATTCTAATTTCCAAAAAGTTTTCTTCATGAATTCAGGACATGTTTATTTTGTAAAGTATCTTTTGAGATTTCAATAACTTTAGATTAGGAGTCGTGATTTAGTTAGCATTTTAGATTAGTTAGGATTGGAGCTAATCTTACCTTAGTATTCAATTTATCCTATTGGAGAGTTTTAGTAGAAATTTTGTTGTAAAGTATCTTTTGAGATTTCAATAACTTTAGATTAGGAGTCGTGATTTAGTTAGCATTTTAGATTAGTTAGGATTGGAGCTAATCTTACCTTAGTATTCAATTTATCCTATTGGAGAGTTTTAGTTTAGAAATTTTGCTTCGAGTAGGATTGAATTTGTTTATTGTTTTTTAGTTTAGTTGACACTAGAAATTCTAGTTTTATTTCAGTTAGGGTTCCTTTACTTATACATCTGCATCATTTTGTTTTCCTCCTGTTAGAATTAGTTCTTGGGTTATCGGGTTAGGGCCCATTAACCTATTAGCCTATTACCCATATGTAACCCTATATATACCCATGGAGATGAATGAAATGATAGACTCTTTGATTTTCTCACTCTTAACATGGTATCAGAGCTAGACTCCATTCGCTCGTCATTGTCTTCCAGGCTCGCCAGCTCCAGATCTCCTTCGAAGCTCTTCGACGCCATCTCCTTCGAAGCTCACCATCGTCTTCGACACTCGCTGTTTCTTTGATCGTGCTCACCTTCAAAGCTCGCCGACCCCAGATCTCCTTCGTGCTAGCCATCGCCGCCCTTGGATCCCTCTTCGAAGTTCGCCGACCTTTTTTTTGCTGTGTTTCTTTCCTTTTCTTTTTTTTGGTTAGTGCCGCTGTTAGTCTGAGTTTGTTGAGTGAGGGCCTTTGTTTTTTTTTTGTCTTGCTGGGCCGCTGTTTGAGTGTGGGCCTTTGTTAAAAAAAAAACAGAAACCAAAAAAAAAACCTGACCTTCGGGTTCCCTTTTTTTAACCTTCGGGTTCCTGACTGTTGACCTTCGGGTTCTCTCCTTTTAACCATCTGACCTTCGGGTTATCTCTTCTAACCTTCGGGTTATCACCCGGGTTCTGACCTTCGGGTTCCTGACAAATGACCTTCGGATTTTCTATTATGACCTTCGTTTTCCCTTTTCTGACCTTCGGGTTATAACCCAGGTTACACAGAATCTGACCTTCGGGTGGGTTCTATCCTCACCTTCGGGTTTCTGCTTTATATAAGGAGATTGTTATACTCCTGATATTGTACTATCCTGTTCTATAACAATGTCAGGATCTGACGTTTCCTCTACCACTACTATACCTACTATTGCTGAGACTTCTGCCCCCAAAGTTGTTTTGGGGACCACTGTCAAGTTAAATGGCACCAACTACCTACTCTAGGCACAAGCCTTTCGCATCTTCATTGGTGCTCAGAATAAATTGGCTCATCTTCTGGCTCTATCTCCCGCATCAACAGATCTCACGTATCCCGCCTGGCTTTCTGCTGACTGTTGTGTGATGACTTGGCTTCTTAATAGCATGGAAGCCCAGATCAGTAGTAGTGTCATGTTCTCCAACACTGTTAAGGAAATGTGGGATAATTTAAAAATTATGTACGAGAATGAGAAAAATGCATCCCGTGTGTTCGAGTTGTATGAACGTCTTTTCTCTCTTCAACAGGGCGATCGCTCTGTACCCGAATATTTTGGTGAGTTGAAGAGTCTGATCGATGAATTAGAAATGCATCAGCCCGCCGTTACGGATGCCGCAACACTGTTGGGATATCGTAGAGACCTTGCTGTCTCCAAGTTCTTGTCAGGTCTGAGCCCCATCTTACAGTCTCAGATATGGGGCCAAATACTCGGGGGAGATACTATCCCATCGTTGACTGCTACATTTTCCAGAGTTATGCAAGTAACTACTGGATTGACTACTGCATCTTCCACACTGTCCGTTCCATCACTTGATCAATCGGCTATGTTCTCTGGGCGTGGCTGAGGTCGCGGTCGTGGTCGAGGACGTGACCGCGACATAGGA